CATACGAATTTTCCATGAATCGATGAATCCCAAAAAGAAAGGGGGGTCCGGGGGTTCTTCCCCAGGAAAATTTTGATTCCTAGAAGGCGGGAAATGAGCTTTCCCGACTTCTGAGGTGTCTTCAGAAGTCGGGAAATCTCAGGTGCTGCAGTGTTCTTTATGTAGAGCTCCATATAAATGCTTGATGTGATCATTCGGGTCCGATGTCAATTTAAAGCAAGTGTTGCAGAGACTTCTTCGAAGTTATTCTGGAGTTAGGTTGTACTTTAGGTTGTAATTAGAATCAATTAAGTTAGATAGTTAGGTAACACAAACTGGTGTTAAGACAAACCTATGAAAACTTAAATAAATACTTTTTATCTAAACTTTCTAAATTCGCCTCTGAATGTTATTTTCGCAGTACTTAAAATAATAAAGCAGTGTTGCTATCAGAATTATTTTGTTCATGATTCTAGTATTTATTAAAGTTTTCATAGGTTTGTTTTAACACCAGTTTGTGTTTCCTAACTATGTAACTTAATTCCCAATTTGCCAATAACAGACCCTTAACATTTTTGCTATAGATCGACTACAATGTACCTTAATATTTATTACATATAAATCAAATTTAGATCAATCTTAATAATGTGATTTTAAATAGCAGATGCAGATTTAAGGGGTGAAAAAAAGGAAAAAAAGAAAGACAAATTGATCGGCCAAACGCCTCAGTGGTTATTTTCGGGCGTCTAGAAAACAAAAATTTCCCCTAAGGTGGTGTTATCTTGATCGGCCCCACTTTCGCCCCCCCCCCCACCTTCGGCCCCTCCCCCTTTCGGACATCTCTGGATTCGCCCCTGAACTGGCCTACATGCCAGCAACTAAAGAACATAGACTATTTAATATTACGATGTATCTAGGTTTGCATGTACTTTATGGTGATAGATTAATTAAAAGAAGAAAAACAGTAAAAGATTAACATTGTTCTGTGTATATCATTTAAATTTCGAATGAATGACCGCTGATTTTCGTGTAATTTTTGTAGTATTTCAAATGAATATGTACCCACTGTTGTCTTCTAATCGGATTAAAATCTGGCCGAATTTTGGCCGATATCGAAAAAAAGTTGGGCCGAACTTGACCGTGAGATGGCGTGTGTTTGGCCGTGAAGCCTGTCGACTATCTGGCAACCCTGTTTTGCACTGCCACTTGAATTTTTGTATTGTCGTTTTGCACTGCTGACTCTGTGTTTTACGCTGCTGATCGACTCTGATTTTTGCACTGCTGACTCTGTGTTTCGCACTGCTGACTCTGAGTTTTGCACTGCTGCCACTTGTACATTGTCCTTTTGGCATTCTATATTCACTTCTGGGACAGCAATAAAAAAAAATGGTCGTCGGCAAAAGTGAAAACAAAATAGGCCCTAACTGATTGTTACAGTATTCGGCTCTTTGAAAAAGTGGAATGGAATTAAAGGGGTCTTGGAATTAGAGGGTTCTCGAATGCACTGTAATTTACACAAAATAATCGTTGCAAAAAAAACAAAAAACAAAAAACAAAAAACAAAAAACAAAAACAAAAAAACAACAACAAAAAACGGATTCAATTAAGAGCAGCTATTTCCAGGGGTAATTTTACAAAAGCCGGTGACCAAGAGAAACCACAAATCTGTAGACGGTACCGCCTACCAGGGAATGTTCAGGGGCGGATACAGGATTCCGCCAAAGGGGGGCCCCAAAGTAAAGATGGACGACCAGCCGAGGTACAAAGCACCGAGGGGGTGGGTTTGGGAAGAAAAGATTCTTTGAAATGGTACACCCTTAAAAGCTCTTACAGGGCATCTTACAACAAAGAAAGGTATCTATTATTTAGAAGCGATATGCCTACTTATACTCCTTTCTTTGTAGCTATCCATTGCGCGATTATCTCAAAAACAAAAACAAAATTGGTTTTTTTTTTGTGACAAAAAAGGGGGGGTGCGTCGCAGGCGCCTCCCCCCCCCCCCTAAATCCGCCCCTGATGTTCGTCGGCAAAACTCTTCAAGTAAAAGCAAAAAAACAGTATAATATGCCTACAGTGCACTCTCTAATTCGGAACCCTCTATTTCTGATATCCTTCTAACATAGGCGTAACATCAGTGAGCTGTCTCTAGGCCCCCATCTGGAACCCCTGTCAGGGAATGGTTGTTGTCCTCCAATTTCAAGCAAGTGTTGCTGAGCGCTGGAGTTACAAGGTTGTAAGCTATATGAGAATCATGAAGAAGATGGTTCTGATAGTGACATTGATTTATTGTTTTAAGTAGGCCTACGGCAACAATAACATTCAGAGGCGAATTCAGTAAGGTCTAGATAAAAAGTATTTATAACTTTTCATAGGTTTTGTTTCAACACCGGTTTGTGTTACCTTACTATAATGTACCTTTCATTCTAATCAAAGAGAGCCACGGATTTGTTATTGAAGATTCGATAACATACCCTTAAAATTATTGTTATAGATCGACTAAAATCTAGGCCTACGTTATTTAATACATTTAAATCAAATTTAGATCGATCTTAATGTGACTTTAAATAGGCCTACATGCTAGCAACTAATTATAAAACATATTTAATATTAGGCCTATGATGTAGCTGGGCATTTAATTTTGGTGATTAATTATAAAAAACAAAAACAGTGAAAGATTAACATTGTTGTGTATATCATTTTAATTTCTTCGATTTCAAACAAATGACGGTGGATTTTCGTGTAATTTTTGTATTTTAAATGAATATTATGTACCCACTGTTGTCTTCTAATCGGATTAAAATCTGGCCGAACTTTGACCGATATCGAAAAAAGTGACTTTGATGGGGTGTGTTTGGCCGTGAAGCCTGTCGACTTTCTGGAAACCTGATAAACTTTTTATAGGCTACACTTGTGCAGTTTTGTAGCTTATTCGATTAAATAATCATAGGTGGGTCACGTGGCCTTAATGAGAAGGCTAAAATAAATTAATTAAATTTGATAGTCCTTTCCGGGCATAGGCCCTACTGAAGAGCATTTAAGGGCCCACAAAAATTGTTTTATTGTGACACCATTCCAATTAAAGACATGTAGACCAGGACATGTAAGCTGTTTTCTAACCTATACAGTACAATATTAGTTGCAAGAGTTTGCCAGATGTTCATTTAAATCCAAGGAACAGACTTTCCTTGACTATTACGGTTTACTCGGCCTATAGTTTATGTACACACGAAATCATGCCTCTTTAAAAAGACACTCTACACCACCTTTTCTGCGCCCTACATGAATGCCTATCATTTATTATATAATAATAATTTTTCTAATTAAAGACTAAAGTTGCGAAAGACCAGCAAAACCACCGTCTCAAGAGAGGGCTCTTTATTGAAGGGGGAAGACTGTACTTCACATGGCCTTCGAGTGAATAAATGTAAATTAGAACTGATAGTTGTTTCCGGGTGAAGCAGCAAATTTATTCAGCCCCAGCTTGAACTATAGTGACATCATACTTTCCGACTTCCTTTTTAACAGAGGACATGGGTTTGTCCCCAGAGAAGGCGTACGACCAATCAACAATCAAATCTATACTATACTGTTTACTGTTAAAAACATTAAGTAAATAATCGTATCCAAATGCGGCCTGAGTCATTCCATATGGTTCCAACACACTTTTTTGCCCGATCCCCTTGAAATCGTCCAATATTTTGCCTGTTGGGGGTTCAAACCTGAGATAACCCCACAGTGAAATTTTTGGCTCGCCAGCATTTTCTGATGAGTTTTTTTAGCCAAATCTCATGAAAATTTCAAATTGCTTTAACTTATCAAAAAATACTGGCACGGAGCCAAAAAAAAATCACTGTGGGTTATCTCAGGTAGAACCCCCAACAGGCAAAATATTGGGCGATTTCAAGGGGGTCGGGCAAAATATTGTGTTGGAACCATATGGACAGTGACTCTACTGTGTTTTTTGTCTGTCCAGGAAGTGAAACTAGTTGGTAGAAAATTCGAACGGTAATCAGATGGTCTTCGGTTCGAATCCTTGGGAATATTAACTAAATTTGGCGTATAGGACAGCGTCAAGCATTCAGGGCCCATCTCAATGTAACGCTGGGAACTTCCAACAATGAATCTTCGGAAGCCGAAGGTATTAAAAGTAAGCGAATGTTGATTTATATTCATACCTTTTTCCTGAACCTAAATATTGACCTTGAGATATTACTTGCTATATTAGTAATGTTAGATTTGGAAAATGCATGTTGGTTTTGTTGTGTCAAGCCTTTGCTTAGCAAAAACAAGAAGTCCTTGGTCCTCGTAAGGTTGGTCCCCGTATCGAAGGTCGGTTAACGGATATGCAAATATTTTTATATTAAGAGTAAATTAGGTAAATTCCTAAATCACAATCTTATGAGTAGTATTTTAGTGCAGAATCCTTATGTTTGTGGTATGCCAATACTAATCTATTTTGGGAGTATGTGTAGTCTAATATATAAAATAATGATTTTCCAGTATTACAGTTTTTTCTATATTCCAAAAAAAAAAAAAAAAAAAAAAAAATTCAATGTTTTCAAATAGATTTAAAATTCAATTTTTTGGTCATAGCTCACCACCAAATACAAGGAATAAATTTATGTAAATCTTTGTAATTAAAAATAAAAATAATAATAATAATAATAATAATACGGTAATAATAATAATAATAGATTAATAATAATAATAGTAATATTTTTTGTAGGGGAAATAATAAAACAGTGTAAAAGCCATACAGTTATTTTGAGGACATTGTTACAAACAAGGAGGTTATACCAACTTAGTTGGCCTACCTTGTTGGTTGCTTGGTTGTTATTCATATTTTTTTTTCCTGCAATGAACCAAGGAGGTATAATAAAAACCTCCTTGAATGAATTTTTTTCCTGCAATGAACCAAGGAGGTATAATAAAAACCTCCTTGAATGAACGAACTGCATTTTGATTACAAAAACTATTTAAAGAACGCCTATCTTGTATTGCTCTCTCTAGTGGACGTCATTGTTTATTCAAGTAATTTTGTTATGTCATGATGTGCCTATATATGGTAATGATGTGATTTCATCATGACCATATTTAGGCATGTCATATGTTTTTGTCAAATAAAATTTGATAGCCTGGACAGGGTTTTAGGCATCTCTAGGGGTGCGTTCGGGCGAGTTTTTTGCCGAGTCTAACACAGGATAAATCGGGAAACAGCCATTTCCAGTTCCAGCCTGAACGGGTGTTAAACATGGACCGCCTGCTGATATCCGCTGATTCATAATCCAACGCTGCAAATTGTAGTGTTTTTGGAGGAGCAAAAGCAGCATGCCTTAGCAGTCCCTGCTTTTTTTACAGTTTATTTCTAAAAAAAAAACTGAAAAGCTCGATAAAATAAATCATTTCAACTGAGGGCTAGCCTAGAATCCAGATTGTTACTTGTTACATACGTCTGCCACATGCATACATAATCGTAGCACCACTGCTTATTCGTTTAACAGTGGTAATAATTTTCTGTTTTTAAATTACAATTAAAGTTTATTCATGGTTTACACACCCAAAATGTACATCTGCGATTTATTGAGAGTTTGCAATGTATGCTTTATTATTGTTGAAGCTTCTTCAGTAATTTCATTACTTGATTTTGAGACAAAATTATGCAGTGGACCAGCGCCAAAGTCCGTTTCTTAATTAAAGCGTGGGGCGACAGAAGGGTTCGGGGCAACTTGATAGAAACTCATCATTTGCATAATACCTTAGGTTTTACGTCCAGGGTTAATGTTTTTTTCAAAGCCGAGTTCTGCACGAACCGGTAAGCACCCTATGTAACTTTTTGCCATTCTTGCCTGAACAGACCCTAAGTAGGCCCTTACACTGTATATGTGATCTTTTTCATAGTTAGACAGTACAATACGGTATGCGGCCAAAAACATACTATTACATTGTAAGTGCTGTACTTTTGGACACTTGGAATACTTAAATTGTGTTTTGGTTATAGGCCTTTACAATCAAGGTTATTTTGTAAGTTAAATAAAAATCAACAGTTACAGTACAGTAAACAATACTGAAATAGATAACAATCAAGTTTGACTCAATTTTCTCGAAAGAAGACCCATAAAGTTCAGACAAAATGAAAAATACAATTTAAAAAAAAATAAATTGAATGAATTCAGCATTTGCTTTATCAGTAAAGCTGAGCACTACAACTTTTCTTTTATTTTGTAGAGAAAAAACAAGTCCTTGTAATCTCCAAAGCTCTGATGAGGGCAGTATAATAGAGGCAGTAGATCTAAAAAAGATCTATTAATCAATCAGCCTCATGAGGGCAGTATAATAGAGGCAGTAGATCTAAAAGATCTATTAATCAATCAACTATTAATCAATCAGCCTCATGAAGGCAGTATAATATTTTTATAAATGTTCGTATTGATCTTATTTTAACAATTTTAAAAATGTTATGATCTGGATGTTAATGTGTTTTTATGGTGTATGTATGTTGCTCATATTTATGAATTGTGAATGTTATTGTTGACTTTTTGTACTGGGCCCTGTGGGAGAACAGTAGATATGCTACTGAACAGGTTTTTCCAGTACAAAGAATAAAGAAATAAAATAAAATAATAGAGGCAGTAGAACTAAAAAAGATCTATTAATCAATGAGCCTCACGAGGGCAGTATAATAGAGACAGTAGAGCTAAAAAAGTATATTAATCAATCAGCTGAGTGTTTCTAGTGCTCCTCTTCGGAGCTAAAAATGTGCGGGTCTCTTCTAAACATTAGGCCTATTGATCTTTTTTTTATTTTTCCCTCAATTTTATTTTCATCTCATGCACCACTACTGTACCTTGTTTCGCAAACTTAATTTTTTTAAAGATTGTCAGAGGAGGGTGGAAAAAAAAATTTGTTTTTCTTTTTAGCAAATGGTTTTGCCAAAGACATCCAGATGGAGGAGGAAATATAAATAAATAATGTTATTGTTGAATGTGTAGTAATGGGAGAATTAATGCTTTAAATTTATATAATTAGGAATAAATATACATAGTTTATTTTTGGAGATTTCAAGGCAGTAGCAGATGTAATAATAATAATAATAATAATAATAACAATAATAATAATAATAATAATAATAACAATAATAATAATAATAACAATAATAATAATAATGATAATAATAATAATAATAATAATAATAATAACAATAATAATAATAATAATAACAATAATAATAATAATAATAATAATAATAATTAATAATAATAATTTTTCTGAAATGTCCATTTTTTCGTGGTGGCAGGTGTACTAATTGGCTAAAAATAATGTTATTTTTATTTGAAATCATTATTATTGGCGGGCGGTGGATTTGCTAAACAACGTATAAGAAAAGTTTTGCCTTGCTACTGGTGATATAATATTTAAGTATTGGAATAGGTTATTTGATATCACTGCCATTCACAAATGATTACTTCCCGGCTCATCTATCAAATTATACAGCCAGTGTTGTATTTTTATGTAGCGTACCATGAATACATTACAAAGAAAAGGCATATTGATGGACAAAGTAACTTGAGAATGAAACTCAAAATTCATCATACACTGGGCCTTCAGAAATTTTATTACCATGGTTTCATGTTGGGAATGATATTGAAATCCTAACTCGAGCTACTAAAATTAGGATTTTTTTTTATATTAAAAATCATTAGTGATATTTTTCTACAGTTTATATTATACTTACTATTTGAATAAACGCCCTGTTTTGAATAAACGCACTCTAAAATATATACCCCAGGCGTTTATTTTTTTCCTCGAATTAACACCCCCCTAAATGGCTCTAAACAAAACTGATTGAAGCAACAACATCATTCTAAACACGTTCTACTTTAGTTAAATTACATTAATTCTAAGCTGGTTTGGTTTGATAATTTTTTATGATCACATGACGCAATTACACATTGTGGCGGTAATTATGTGTTGTAGTTCCGCATTTACAGTGAAATTAAGTGGCGTTTATTTGAGTGTACATATCCATTTACACCAAAAAAACAAACGCCACCCTCATGTAAACGCCTCCCCCGAATAAACACCCCCTCAAAAACCCTTTTCAACAATAAACTCCCCGGGGTGTTTATTCAAATAGACGATTTTTCAGGGACATATTGGAAAACAAAAGTTATGTGATACTATCTCATCTTCTTTTGAATATTTCGATTTTGATATCTTTTTACAAATGCTTATATTCAAATATTTATATTTCTTTGTTTTACTGTTCATATTTTAAAAGTTCTATGATACTATCTCATCTTTACTGTACAGTATCTTCTTTTGAATATTTCGATTTTTATATCAGTTTACAAATGCTTATATTCAAATAATTATATATTTATTTCTTGTTTTACTGTTCATATTTTAAAATCTGTTGTATATTTGATTACTCTTGAAATAATGTTTAAATAAATAAATTAAATACAAACATGGCTCAAATATACAGTATTACATGTTACTTTTAGATTTATTTATATAATTGATTTGCTTTATTTATAGATCAGTTTAGTGCGTATGATCCAAAAACATTCCATTATAACTCTTCAATGGCTTTGGTTAAAGATTCTGAGGATGAATTTTTGAAAATTAGAGTGCTCTGCTGGGTCATGACGTCCCCGAAAACCTTGTTATCAAAAGCGCAACATGTCAAGAATACGTGGGCATGGCGTTGTGATAAAACACTTTTCATGAGCTCTGTGGAGAATCGGACGTTTCCGTCGATAGGCTTAAATGTCAGTGAAGGCAGAAATGCGTTATGGGCCAAAACGAAGGCAGCGTTCACATACATATATGAGCATCATTTTGACGAAGCCGACTGGTTTGTTAAAGCGGATGATGATACCTTTTTGATTGTTGAAAACCTAAAATATATGCTTGCATCTTATAAACCCTCCGATCCAATCTTTTTTGGCCACAACTTCAAACATTTTACACCCCAGGGGTATATGAGTGGAGGTGCTGGTTATGTGTTAAGCAAAGAGGCAGTAGACCGTTTCATCAACAGGGCTTTACCAGATCCCAAGAAATGTAAGCAAGCGGGAAGCGGTGCCGAGGATGTTGAAATGGGGAAGTGCTTGCATAACGTTAATGTGGTAGCAGGAGATTCGAGGGACTCTTTACACAGACATCGCTTCATGCCATTTGGACTCGGAAGCTTCCTGCTCAAAGGGAGTCTACCCAAGAAATTTTGGTATTGGTCCTACCAAAAATACCCATTGCATGAGGTAAGCAAGCCTCATATATTTCTTTAGTGGGGGTTTTTTCTATGTGAGAGTCATAGGTTCATGGAGCACTAAACTTTTATGGGTATTTGGGAGGTAAATGTGTTTGGAGCTAAAGCATTTTAGCATTAAATGTATTATATTATCTTTATATTAAAATGATAAATATGATTTATATAGCGGACATATTCACTTTAAAAAATGCTCATGGTGCTTGAGACAATAACTTTTACCAGAAAACAATCTCAAAACCTAAAAAGTCATGAACAATAAGATAAATGTGACCGGTAGCACAGTTACGCTGATGAAGTCTTGAGGAAAAGACATATTACTGTATTCGTTTCTTGAATAAAATCTTTTGTGTTCTACTGTCCAATTTATTATTTTTGTTTTATTTGAACACCCATTGACCAATATGACTATATAACACCTGCATATAGAGTATCTATTTCAAGATCCAGTCTGCCTTACATATAATGCACAGTAGAGGGTGTATCTATTCAGATCTTTGATTGTCCTAAAGGCATGCACGGACTACTAGTGTTACCATGGGGACATGTTTAGAGTGTTGAAGGAGTCTCAGTGGCTACCGGATCGAATCAACCAATGAAAGCCTTCATGGTCTAGTTGGTAAGACGTTCGCCGTGTAAGCGAAAGGTCCCGGGTTCGATTCCCAGTGGAGGCTGAGATTCTTTATTCATTCTCAAAAAATCATATATATATATATATATACATATATAT